ATTTGTTTGTCTTTTGGGCTTGTTTTTGGATTATGCTTGTATTTTATGATATATATTTTTTATTTAGAATTGTCTTTGGAGAGTTTAACATCATTTTAGAATGAAATTTATTTAGATTTGAATTAAAAAAAATTATAATTTTTTTTATTTAAAAAAACTTATAATTAAGTGGACCAATTTGTTTAACCCACCAACCCGTGGTGGGTCGAGCCGAGTTCGAACTTTTTCAGCTCGCTAATAAGTGAACCGGATTTGGTTGACTCACTAAGTAATTAACTCGTGGTGGGCCGAGCCGAGTCGAGCCGGATTACCCGTTTTGACAGCTCTAAACATCACTCTAGCTATAAAAAACTTGAATATTTTAAAGACATTGAATAAAAGTAAAAAATAATTTAAATATAATATATGTTATTCTTTTATTTATAATAATGAAAGCTTTTTAATGTTTTTATTCTTCATTTAATAGAAATACACTAATTAGTATTATATTATGCAGGGATTCATTAACATAATTTACATTAGTATATTTTTAGAATAGAATATAGATTATAACATGTTTAAAATAAGTTTCTTAAGTTTTTTTTAATAAAAAATATAAAGTATTCTTATAAGGTTGGGTAGAACTTATAAAATCATCCAGAATGTTTTTGGTGTCTTGGTTTTCATAATTGTTATTTAATATTAGGGATTATATGTAAAGATAGTCAGTAAAGTTATTATTTGATAAATGAGGTACTTTATAATAGTGCGTAGTTGTTTTTGTCACGCCGAATTGTTTAAAAGTTAAGATCTAAGATAATTTAAGTATTCATTTATCCTTTCACCTTCTTAAATGTTTTTTAAAAACAAAATTGTAACGGAGACAAATTGTAACGGTGACAGTCTCCAAAGTGGATAATAAATACGTGATAATTTGATTCTAATGATGTCACTCAATTTAGGATCCAAACATTGACCCAATAAGAATTTCTATGAAAAATTATTGATCCCTTAAGTCATCAATTAAAGATAAATAGTTTCACATTGCTTAGGAGTTAATGTTTAAGAATATTTAAATATTTAAGGACAAAACCATAGAGTTGTCAAAACGGATAACCCGACTCGATCCGGCCCGACTCATCATGGGTTTGTCACTTAGCCAACCCAATCCGGCTCACTTATTAGCGAACTGAAAAAATTCAAACATGGTTCAACCTACCACGGGTTAGTAGGTTAAAAGGGTTGATTCACTGACTCATTTAATTATAAATTTTTTTAAAAATAAAAAAAATTACAATTTTTTTAATTCAAATATAAATAAACGTCACACTAACGTGATGTTAAACTCCAAAGAAAATTCAAAATAAAAAAAAATATCATACAATCCAAGCATAACCAAAAACATGCCAAAAGGTGAACAAATAAGTTTTTAATATTGATAATTTTTGTATCACTTGTCCATTTATAATATTAGAGTCTTGAATAGATAAATCTATAATATATTTTTTTGTTAAAACATCTTCTTCTTTATCTACAATATAATAGAAAAAAATGCTAACTAATAATATTGAAACACAAAATAATAAATAATTAAGGTAGGTTGGTGAACCAACCCGGCTCTTCATGGATTCAACTCGGTGAGTTGGGTTCTAAGTGAGCCGAGTTGAAAACTAGCCTGCATAAAAAATTTACATTTTTTTCAAACCCAACCCAACTTTAATCCGTGGTGAGCCGGGTTAACCCGCAGGTTACAACCCATTTTGACAACACTACAAAATCATTACAAAGCATAGAGTCCAAAATGAACAATACCTTGAATGTATGATAATTAGTCATAATGACGTCACTCGACGAATTTGAAATCGAATAATAATAATAGTAATTACTAATATTTTTATAGTGGATGATCATCTATTTATACTACTTCTAATTGACTTTAACTTGTATTCATGATCGAGAAAAATACAAATATGACTTAATCATATTTTTTACTTTGCTTTATCATTAATATTTCAATTACATGCTTAATTGATAATTGTAGGTTGATTGTTTTCTTATTGCATGTGTCAAGAGTGTGACACTTGTTGTCGTGCCAATAATTTGACGGGTTACCACATGTCGAGAGTGTCCAGGGATGGGTGACTGCATGTTGTGAGTATATCAGGATGTCAAGTTCATTGTGTAGTACATCGGTCTCCTAAGTCCAATAGGTAGAATGAAACTAAAAAAGAGTGTAATGTTATGTTAATAAGTTATTTTGTAATACACTGATCTCTTAAGCTCAAATAGCTACAATGAATCTTAAAAAGATTATAATATTTAGTACTTGATTATCATTTTAGTGAAAATCATATGGTGACATTTATTTTATATGTAAAGTATTGTATATAAAGAAAAAAATTGTTTGATAACAATAACTACCATTACCGATTATCATTTGAGAACTCATTCTATCGGTTATTTAAGTTAATATCTCATCTTTCAACCTATAACTTAAAGTAAAAAAAAAAAATATTAGATCAATTTTTTTTATGAAACCATAATATCATAAATGTATGTAATAAGAAAAAAAGTATGAAATTTGAAGTGTATTAGAAAAGTGTGAACTTAATACTTGAAGTCACGTAAGTCAAGTGATGATTTAATCTTTGAAAGAGAAGTACTTGTTTTCATTCCATTGAAAGTTAGACATTCAAATACTTGTTTGGTCACTTAGCTAGTATTTGGATGGGGGAAAATTTAAAGGATAACGAGTGAATGAATTTGAGATGATAAAAAAGAGATTGTGACGTTGTTTGGATTAAGAGATTTAAATGAATGAATAAAAATATTTGAAGAGAAAAAATGTATGAAAGTTTATGTAAGATATGATGGGTATGATAGATTAGAAAAAATGTTTTAATAGATAAAATTAGATAGTTACTATTTTATTTTTAAAGATAAAATGTGATATAAAATTAAATATAAATACTAAAAATTATATTAAAATAAAATTGAAATTTTTATTTAAAATTACAAAAATATGATGATAATAATAATAGTTATTAATATATATAATAAATAATAATAAATAATTATTTATATATATAAGAAATAAAAATAAAAATAAAAATTAATTATTTATAATTATATATATATATATATATATATATATATTAAAGTTGTCATTTAAAATTAAAAAATAAAAAATATTATTATTAATATTATTATTGGTAATATTATTAGTAATATTATTATTATTATTATATTATTAATAAAAATGTATGTGTATCCATTAGGGGAATCAATTATGTAAAAGAAAAATCAATTTTTCCTTCCATTATATTACCTATAAACTAATTTGAAGAATTAACATAGTGTTTTGGGAGGAGAATCGATTCTCAGAAGAAAATAATCGATTTTCTCTCTTTATATGACTCAAAATCGATTCCAGTTTTTTTAAATCACCCACAGTCGATTCTACAATCAGCATAATTGATTTCATACTATTACAAGTACATTTATAATTGATTCCAGTTCTATCATAACTGATTCTATTGCCTCAAAAACACACCTAGAATCTATTTCAATTTTTTTTATTTATCTAAAATCGATTTTAATGACAAAATTGATTCTGATCTTTTGAAAATGCATTCAAAATCAATTTCAATCTTTTGAAAATGAAACAAAATCAATTCAACCCACTTTTCTTCTTTCCATAACTCATACATATGTGAGGACACCATAGTTTTCTCATCTCATTTTGCATGAATATGAAATCACCTCAAATCTCCTGAATGCCAAGATGAAATTTTCATCTTTTACAAATAATCACTTAGAATTATCTTCAAATATTTAGAAACAAACAAGTTACTCACCCACAAATTCACACATTGAGAAAAGCACGTTAACTTAAGGAAAAAAGAGAACAAATTATTTTTTCTCCCATGAAATTGTTATTTATTAAGTGATGTTAATTTGTTGAAATAACATAGAACGTGGATTCAACTAGTAATGTCAAAATGGGTTAAAACCCACGGGCTAACCCGATCTCACGAGTTTAGTCTGAGTTGGGTTTAAAAAAAATGAAATTCTTTTATATGGATCAATTTTCAACTGGCTCACTTAAAATTTGGCTTTGTTGAATTATATTTGAGTTGTATATTAGTTTTTTATTTTGAATTATCTTTGAAGTTTAACATGAGTGAAATTATTTAAATTTAAATTAATAAAATTGTAACTTTTTTTTAAATTTAAAAGAAAATTGTAAATAAGTAAGTTAGTAAGTGAATCCGTTTAACCTACCTGATATATCAAACTAGATTTAAATTTTTTTGATTTGTTAATAAATAAATCGAATTGATTCACTCTTATCTAACTTTGGTTAACCACGTTAGTTTCAAACCAATGGGTTATACCTCCATCAAATAAGTGATCGAGTGTTTTTGAAAAATGTTTATTAAGTGAGAGGATATATCATGACCATTTGTCATCGTGGTATTAGATTATGCAAAAATCTCTGTCAAACAAAACATTAAATCTCGGTAACCAAATTACCATTTTTAAATTACACAGACTAATAACATGAGATACCGAAAAAAACTAAAGCATATTCTTTGATTTAATCTTTAAAAAAAAAACCTCTGCTGTGACATCCACACCCACCCTGCACCAACTTCAATCATTTTCACCGTCGTGTGTTTCTCCTACGTAGGACAAGTTAACCACCCTTGTCCATTTTCTCAATATCCACACTTTCCTCACTCTTCCTCAAACTATTAGAATCATATATCGTTGAGAATAACAAAATTAACCTGTGTTCCTTCAGCACGGGAACTCGCATCCCAAACGTGCTTTTTTGTTAAGAACTCTGACTGGGCAGCTACCCAAACAAGCCGTGCCTCTGCCATGTTCGTGTGCGTGCCCCCGAAACAGAGTAACGATAATAACTGTCGACAACAGCCATAGTTGATGGGAAAATACGGCAATTCAACGATTCATCGTGTAAAGGAAAATACAAAAAAAGAGGACAAAAAGAGAAATTAGGAAAAGGACAAATGTAAAGTTTTTATTAATTAGAGACACAAAAATCTCAAGGTTGGAGTGGCAGCAGCAGGTAGCTAACTAGCTTTAGGAAGTAACCACACAAAGTGAGTCACTCCAATTTAACAATTCATTGTTCTCGTGGTCACCACCTACTCTGCACCTTCTCAGCCTCTCGTACTTTTCTACAATAACATCACTCTCCACACACCCACATGCAGCACATTCCTCTTCCAAGTCCTCCTCGTCCACTTCTTCTTTTTCGTCCCCGGTTTTTTCTTCCTCTGTTTCCTCGTCATCTTCTTGGGTATCTTTTACTTGTCCAACGATTTCGTTTTCCAATTCTTTTTCATTGGTTAACTCTTCGTTTTCTTCTGCGTCATCTTCTTCTTCCGGGTCAAAACTTGGAGTGTGGTTTGTCAAAAAGCAGAGGCGAAGTCGGCCATGGCTTCTTTCAGCTCGAAAGCACAAGGGACTAGGTGGGACCTTGGTGACCTCAATCACCAGCCTGCCGTTTTCACGGTGGGGTCTCACGCGAAGAGGCTCCGATCCTCTTATCGTCGTCAAAGGGGGCGGAAAATTCTGCGCTTTCGCTTTCCTCGCTGTCGAAAGTTGACGAGTTTGCCCCTCTTGGGTTTGTTCCCTTGTCCCCGAATAAGTGTTCACCGCAGAGAGCATGTCAATGCTGCTCTCATCGCTGTCACTGCCGCTTTCGTTTCCGAGGTTTTCAGTGCAGAGCTGGAGACTCCGTGGGCTGAGGCTGAGCGAGGAGCGTTTCTGCTGAGGGTGGACGTAGGTGGTTTGGTCCTGCGATGGGTGTTTTGAGACGTTGGAGAGTGCTTCGAGGAAGGTCCAAGAGGTGGAGTTAGAAGGTGTGGTGGAGTTGTTGTTTTCTTGGGTGTGGGGTTTGAAGGTTGAGTTTGAGTTTGAGTTTGAGTTTGAGTTTGAGTTTGAATTTGAATCCCATAAAGAGGATTTGAAGAATTGAGGAGGAGGTGGTTTTGAGGAAGGGAGTCTGAGTTTGAGTGATATTGACTCAGCGAGTTGGGAGTCGAGGTGTGACTGCAATCCGTGGCACACAATTGCAGCCATGTGGCGGCGATGGGTTGCGGAGATTTTTGAAGGGTTAGAAAAGGAAAAAGTGGATTAAGAGGGGAACAGAGGCCTCTGTTTTGTAGTGGTGTGAGGGGTGAGAAAAGAAGTATAAGTGTTGTAGTGTGAGGTTTTATATTGGAAGGAAGTGAGTGTGAGGGAGAAGAGAAGAGGAGAAAATGTAAGTGATGAGCATTGGCATGGGAAGAAGTGAGGGAGGATGCTAATCAATTTGTAGTCCCAAAAAGTGGCTATGCGGAACCTTTTTCTTCAGAACCACTTTTATTTTTAGTAGAGCAACTTGATATATACAATTCTTAAATAAAACACAAGAAACGGAGAAATGAATTTTCGAAAATAAGAAAAACGAGGGGAGTGTTTCTTCATAAAGTATTTTTGTACTGACATCATGTTGCACCAAAGATTTACCATTCTCTTACAAATAACTGAAACACCAAATTGTAAACAAAATTACCATAGTTCCAAAGGAGTACTTCATCTACAAAAATTCACTTTCGCTAACACGATTTTTTTTTTCACGATACAGGAATAGTATTTAGTATACACAATTTCATTATATGTATATTTTTTTGTATTAAAGTTATATTTGGTAAATACAATTTCCTTTTTGTTATTGAAGTAATGACTGAAAAAATTAAACATCGTGCTTATCAAGAATAATTTCAGTAAAAAAAATAAAAAAAAAAAACATATTTTGTATATTGTTAGAAATAAAAAAGTTAAAATAATGCTTCTAAAACACTACTTATCTAATTTTGTATACTTTTTTTACAATTTATCTATTGTAGTATTTTTTTTCTTCCAAGAAAGTATACTAAAGTAGTAAATTTTCCAATATTACACATTAGGGTAATAGTTACTCTACACAGGATACACAAGTTATAAGAATTTTGTATTCAAAAGTTTACAAGAATTTAAGCTTCACTTTTGTTGAGTAAAATAAAGTCTCAAGATATAGATATATATTTATATATACATAAAATATTTTTACTAGTAAAAGATTTTTTGAAATAATATTAAAAACAAATTTGTGAGAGTTTACCTAATACGAATAATGGCGATCTATATATGTGAGGTGAACCTTCCCACATCTCAAAATGCATCTTGATTGTTCACGAGAAAAAGATAATCCATAAGTATGTTTTATTTTGCTTTTTTTTCACTTTTATCTCAATTCATAATGTGTAAAGAAAATTAAATAAAAACTTAAATTGATGTTTAAGTTTAATAATTAAAATGTAAGTTTTTTAAACTACAAGAACCACCAAGCAATTTAACCTAACAATGATTTATGTAGAATTTTTCTCGTTTTTTTTTCTTACTGATAGAATGTTCCTAGTTGAAAGTCTTAAATTCGCAGAGATTAGGCATGTTCTTATGTGGAAATGAAGGCTAAACGGGAGAGACACGAGGGCTTTTGTCGGCTGCAGAATCACCTGCTTTTACGCTTAGAGAAAGGCAACAAAAGCGCAGAGCACACATGTGCAGTGATATCTTGCGGTTATATTCAAGATCTCCCGTACACTTGTTTTAAGTATATTTACATATATTATAAAAGTAAAATTATTATAATAAAATGAATTTTAATATTTAAAATAAAAAAAAATATTAAATGAATGTAAAAATAAAAATATCATTTATATTATTTTTATCTCATTCTACATATAATTGTCTAAGGTTTTAAGGTCGTGTAGGGCACACATTAGGTTGATTTCTGCTAATTCATTCAAAGAAAGTAAAAAAAGGAGTGAAGGATGAGCACACATGCTTTGAAAATAATGGTAGCTGCTTAATTGTTTCTCCTCTTTATGCAAAAAATTATAAACAGAATGTTATGGGGCAAATGAAAAAGAGAAACGATTTACCTATTTACTGCCATGAATTTATGATTCACTCAAATGGGGTGTTTGGTACATGTTTGAGGGCTGCCTGCAACAATGATTGTGCTTTGGGAAAATCTGGAACCATAAAAACAGGATCCCATGACCTTATGTTCTACTGCCTAGGGTTTCAAATTTTGGGATAAACGCAACAGTGAGTCCTACGCGGCAGAACATGTTTGGTCTATAATGTTGAAACAAATTCAAATTCCTTCATCATAACACTCCACAACATGCTTAGGACACAAGTTTTAGTGCCATTCACATCATTTCTTTTTTAAATTCCTTGTCTGCGACTAATTTTAAAATACTGATATTATTTTTAAATGCATGTATTTAGAAGAGCTGTTGTCATTTAAAAACAATAAAAGTCAAACTTTAAATAAGGACTTCTAGTTGTCAAACTTCAAAAATATAATAATTAAACGTCTTTCGTGTTATAAAGTGTCGGTTTATACTCCTAAAATTCGAAACCAGTCCACGTTCTGTCTTTTAAAATTTGCTTTTCGGTTTCCTTAGGCAGCTGAAAATGTGGTTTTGTGAAGGAGATTCAATAAATAGAGGAAAAAACATTTTAAAATGCTACGTATTATAATCAATGTATTAAAACTAAAAAATAAATAGAAATGGAAGCCAAGTAAACAAAATTTTAAAAAAATAATGCATCTCACCGTTTACTCCCATAGTTAGTGGTTTAATTCATAATTTAGTGTCTCTACTAACTATGCTGTTTTTTTATTCAATTATATATATATATATATATAAACTTATAATTATCCGCTTATTTCTGCCCAACCGATTAAACTAAATTCCTATCTTGCATTTTTTTAAACAAAAAAAAGGTACATGTTCATTCACATGATTACCATTCCAAAAGTCTCGCCTCAATCAAATTACCTTTTTCATAAGAATTTGAACAGACTAGTTAGTATTATGATAAAAAAAAATAGTAATTAGTAATTACTTATATTAAATTTTAAATAAAATAAATTTTCGTGAAGTATTTAATAAAAGAGATTAATATAAAAAAACGAAAAAAATATATAAATAAACTTGTCGTAAGACGTAACTTACGAATGCTAACAGTTGAATATCTACCGTAAGAAATTGATGGTGAGAAAGTTGTGCGATCCCATCGATAACTTTTTTCAAACAATATTAGACTGTGAGGTGTCTTTCTTTTCTTTTTACCTCTGACGAAAGAATTGAAGCACTGTACTAGATATAATTCGAACGAAGAATAACAAACAATTTCAAATTTTTTCTACTTTCTAATACAGGTTGAATCACAAAACATTGCTTTGTGTTTAATATCATATATTATGAACATTTTGACTTTTGAATGTCTATTATATCATTTTCTTAGAATAAAGCTATTTGCTTACATAGCGCACCTGCAATGTGTCAGAGTTGTTCATGGTAAAAAATAAACAAGTAAAAGAATGTGAAACTAATCAAATTAAATAACAACTGAAAACTGAAATTAAGATCTAATTTAACTCAAATGAAACTTGCACACACATTCTTTATCTTTGAAGTTTTCTTTTTCATTCATCAACTGCACATATTGAAAGTCCCACATCCATTAGAGATAAGGCTAAATTATAATATATAAGTGAAGTGGAAACCTCACCTTACAAGCTAGTTTTGTAGGGTTAAGTTAGGCTTAAAGCCTACTTCTTAACACATTATAGCTCCCACTGTAGAAGCTGCAAGTATTTAAAAACTACTAAAAATATTTATCTTATACATTTCTAAAATAGAATTACAAAAATTATATAAAATTTAATATAAATTAAAATTTAATCTAATAAAATATAAATTAATTTTATTTTAAATTAAATATAAATAAAATTATCATTTTTATTTTTTTTGTGGGTAAGGGGTACCTTCGAGTTTGACTGCATCCCACCCGTTTATAAATGGGTATTAAAATATTCGTTATCCACAACTCATTATGAGTAATAAATATTCGTTGGTACCAACCATCACTCCTCAATTTTATACATAAAATCATTTACTATTGACTGGTTTTATTTTTGTTTTTGTTTTATTTATTAATGGCTTTATACTTTAGTTCTTGTAGAATAAATATGTAATAGCAAATTTTATAATTCGATTTATAATTGAGAAAAAAAACGTAACTTTTGTTATAAAATATACTATAATTTATTTATTTACATATAATCAACTGAACTGTAAAAATACCCTAAATAAGTACATTTTTGGGATTTTTTTTAATTTGTTATTTCACTAAACATTAATTTTTGTTTGGTTGAACTAAGGACAGTAGTTTGAAGGTGAGTGAAGAAAGAATAAATGGAAAACTATTTTTTTAGGATCGATTGATTAAATAACAGAGAAAAAAATGTAGAATAAACTAATAATTGTTTTCTCCTAAACAATAAAGAGAAAATTGAAGAATCAAATAATCTTTTCAATATATTTTTCTGATCTATTTACCTATATCTATTGTTATATTAAAATTATAAACTATATAATAATATATTCTCTGTTGGGAATCCAAGTGTGAAAGAAAGTAGAATACTATATAAAAGTAAAAGACTCGTTAACTCATTATCTTAATATTTTGGATAAAGAGTGGTGTCAGTCTCTTATATGACTAGACTCAGATGTCATTAGTGTTTTTGTCAACCCGATCAACTTTCTCTTCGATACACCTAACATTCTCATACTTTCTCTAATCAACAACATTTTCATTAACTAAGTAGTAGAAAAATTTTAGACAAAGGTTGATCCTCTTGACTTAATCACATTTGTATTAACCAAATAGTACAAATTTTCAAAAACAAAATAACAGGGTTAATCCTCTTGACTTAAGCTCACGCGAGTCCATATATCTACTTATCAGAAAAAAAAACTAACATAAATTAAAATTGTTTTATTTATATAAAGTAGAGTGTAGAAACTTAATGCGTGCATATAAATTAATTTTATCTCATGAAAAAATATTCTTTTTTAAGAAAAGAGTTGTCCAAAATACCCTATTCATAAATTATATATATAAATACTTGAAAACATATGAAACCAAAATTTTGTGACTTTGACTTTTTAAAACACTTAGGTGTGTGTACATATAATTCTTTTAAAGATGACATACATGTAGTTGCTAAAAATTGAGAACCAGACAAAGAATTTCTATTGAACAAATAATGATTATATAGCCCAAATTATGTTGGTTTAAACTATTTACAATGTGAAAACTCATTGGCTTTCCAAATTATATATATAATGTAGGTTTTTTTGTGGCTTATATTTTTATCAAATTCTTTTGACAACTTGATATTGTAATTTTGAATAACTAATTAATTAGACGAAACTAATTGGGCACATTCCTTTAATTATTTT